ACGGAATATATTGTGAGACCATGAAGAAACTTCGCAGTACCATCCAAAACAAACATTGTGAGATGTTGATGGTGGGAATCTGTCTCCTTCATGACAATGTGCACACCTCTCATGCAACACAAGAGTTGTTGACTTCATTTGGTTGGGATGTTTTAAACTACCCCTCTCACAGCCCAGATCTCGCATCTAGAGACTATAATCTGTTCACTAAATTGAAGGAACACCTGGGTGGAAAACACTTTTTTGACAATGATGAAGTGAAAATCGAACTGGCTGAAAAAGGCGGAGGGAAAATTCTATGACACAGGCATCAAAAACTCATCCCACAGATGACAAAAAGGATTGAAGTGAATGGTGATTATGTGGAAAAATAATGTAATATCTATGCTACAATCCATGTAAGTTTTATTAAAATATATTCATTCTTTGTATTTTAAAAAAAATCTTGTAACCTTACTATCCGGATAACCCTCATAAATTGGTTAGAATGGGGAAACGGCTGCCTAAATTGGATGTTTTTCAGCACAGATCAGAAATATAGATGTCTGAAAAAATGGAACTGAAGCATTGCAAACATGCATGTGGTTTGCCGTATTTATGCCAAAAAATCATGAGAAGGCACCAGCTAATCAGTTAACTTTCTGGGTGTTTACTTCAAGGCAAGCTCATTAACTGAGCATCCAATGTATCAAATAGCTGCATTTTACATGGACTCACAGTAATTACTTTCTTATGCCAGCTTCCAACATCGTGATGTGTATGTTTTGTCTTTGTAAGGCTTATCCCCATGTTTAAAAACCATGTTGTGTCTTGGACTAGAAATGGATTCAACAAGAACAACGGTTTCTTGTTCATCAGCTAGTAATCTGAGGATGTATTTGTTCATTCTCTGTATTGATACAGTGGGTTGCATCTAGATTTAGGGATATGCAGTAGGCTTGGCATAAGTGGCCCTCCTCATGTTAGCTCTCCAACTGCTGGAAAACTTACAAAGGGATGGAGAGAGATGAGCCTGGGAAAACTGAATGGATGCATTTCCCATGAGTGGAGCATTGTTATCCACTTGATCAACCCCATCATGTTTATATCATCAGTCTGAATTAATTCAAGATTCTCATTCCTTTCCAGGATCTCTGTGCCATTCTTCTGGGAATACAGAATTGTTCTTTAAGTGTGGGAGATGTAAGAAATGTACTTGAGCATGTTTGTGGAAGAAGAATATCTATTGGAACCTGCTTGTGGAAGACAAATAATACAACTTGCTGGTTGAATTGAAAGTCGTAGCCATGTTAGTCTGGATCAATATGTGAACTGAACTTGTGGCACCTTTTGAGGTTAACTTTGAGAAAGGAATTGGTAGCATAAGCTTTTGTAGACTTCATCAGTTGCATCTGATGAAGTAAAGTCTACAAAACCCAGCATAAACGTTTGGCATTTCTCACTCCATATATGGTAAAATTCTTTGCATTCCTTTGCTTGCATAGCAAAGTAGTGCAATAGTCCTGCAGTTATTGCATCTTCTGAAGTAAATATAGGAAGAAATGGAAAGGCTTTACAATCACACATTAGTTGGTCCTCTATTCTTTGGTTTTTTACAACGGGAAAACAGTCTGATTGTAAATGTTTCTTGAATCTCATTTTAAACTTCAATGTGGTAGGGTTCTCTTCTGTTCTTCCCTTCAACCCTTTCATCCTTCCCTTCTTCCATCCCTTTTGTCTTTCCTTCCTCCTTCCCTCCCTACCCAACCTCTTTCTCCTTCTTTCCTTCCTTCCTTCCTTCCTTCCTTCCTTCCTTCCTTCCTTCCTTCCTTCCTTCCTTCCTTCCTCCTTCCTTCCTTGCTTTTCTTTCTTTTCTTCCCTCTTTCCTCCCTCTTTCCCTCTCTCCTTCTTTCTCCTCCCATACTTCCCCTTTTCCCTTTCGTCCTTCCTTCATCCTTCTTTTCCTTCCTCTTTCCCTTCCCTTCCTTCCTTTCATCACTGGGCAGCCAGTCTTCCTAACAGGGAGTGCTAGCATGCAGCCCCCAAGTCAGAAAGTTTGCCCATGCCTGTGTTGCAGCATATAAATAGGGGTTGATCATATTTTTATTGTGATTTCCCCCCACCCAAACTCCTAGTAGATAGTAATCCAGATAAGAGGAAATAAAAAAAAATAAACACAGTAGGTATCATACCTCCTAACCCTGCAGCTGTGTCTTTTCAATAATGATGATGATGATGATGTCTATTGAGACGAATTATCTCTAGTTTAAGCTTGTGGGTGACAAAGTATTTTATTTTCTCCTGCACTCCCAATACTATACAACTACTCCTGATTAGTTTTGAAGAGTAGCAGCAAGAGGAAGAAAAGTTTGGAGAGTGGGGTGGAAGAGGATTGTAGCATCCTCACCCGGCATGTGCTGCTTTGCTTTTTTAACTTGAAATTCACCCATGTTTGGAGGCAATTATAGATAGGAAGGCATATGGTCTACTGATATCACATCTAATGGTGTCCTTAAACTGTCAGTTCCAATAGAAAGGAAAAGACCACTTGTGCTTACAAAAGTAACATGAAACCAATGTAGTTAAGATATAGATAAAAGGAAATACAAAACAGAGAAAATGCAGCAGTTAAGATTTGTGAAACTGGTTCTATATACTCATCGGGTGGGAAGAATGAAACGTGGGAGAATATATATAGGAATACATAGAGAACAGTTCCAGCCATTCTTGATACAGGCTGTCCCCAAGTTACAAACAAGTTAGGTTCTGTGGGTTTGTTTTTAAGTTGAATTTGAAGTTGGAACAGGTACATTTTAAGTGTATCTCTCTTCACACACACACACAAACACATATATAGCACATATATCACACACATACACACACATATATATTATCTCTAGTTTAAGCTTTGGATAGCATAGGGAAGGGTTAAGACCCCTCTGGTGTTTGTTTTGAAGTCTGTGCACCTGTTCAGAAGATTTCACCTCACTTTTCAACCTTGTGATAACACAAGCCAAAAAACCAAACTTTTTGTAATCATCGGAAATGAGAATAGCACCGTTTAAATCAATGTTTATGGTGATTTTAAATATGGTATGTATTTTTTTCTCATCATGTCAACTTTTAAAAATATGATGAATGGTAAATTACAGAGAACTATTGTAAAGTCTGCACATTTCACATATTTGTGTAACACAAGCCAACAAATATATTTTTAGCAGATATGATTTTAGGTCATTCTTATAGAGTTTTTTGTTCTGAATTCAGATCTGTGTTTATTTTTTCTCTATCATGTGTAGTTTTTTGTGATGAGGCTAATTGAATAATTAATGCACTTATGCACTGATATCAACAGAATCTAATTAACCACAAGCTAACAAGTATTTTTCAGCAGATATAATTTTAGGTCATTCTTATAGAGTTTTTTGCGCTGAATTCAGATCTGTGTTTATTTTTTTTCTCTGTCAGTGCGTAAATGCATTAATTATTCAATTAGCCTCATCGCAAGGAGAAAAAAATAAACACAGATCTGAATTCAGTGCAAAATACTCTATGAGAATGACCTAAAATTATATCTGATGAAAAATACTTGTTGGCTTGTGTAATTGGATTTTGAAAAAATCGTCTTGTTCTGGGAACAAGGACTGGTGCTAAAGCTTGTGAGGACACCTGTTCCCCATGCTTTTCAGGAATGAATTTCCCTCCCAAGTAGTAGATTTCTCTCACTTCCTGTTGTCTCATCCGCATCTCACCCCGGTTCTCAACTAGGAGCCATATACTTCGGATGTTTGTAACTTGAGGACTGCCTGTATGATGCTTGTACGCCAAGAATCTCTGTAGAGAGAGCATATTCCTTGAGGAGGAAGAATAGAAAACAGTATGTGGGGTCTAAAAGAATGTAGATAAGTGTGAATTGATGCCTGCTGTGGGGATGATGAAAACAGATATTCATAACCTCTCTTTATATTCATAAACTCTATATTCTGTTTTAACTGAGTTAAGGGTTATTCAACACAGCCTTCTGAAATGTGCAGCTATAAGAGCTGTCACAAAAGATGAAAAGAATTGTAATTTGATCACAATATTCTTGTAATTTGATCACAATATCCTTGTAATTTGATCACAATATTCAGGCAGGTAAGGAATCCACATATAAATCATAGGGACACAGGGATGTAGTGAATAGCTATGCACTAAATATATACAACTGTGTTTATCATATAGATGCAAGTAGGTGCCACAATAGCACAGTGGGTTAAACCGCTAGTTGCAGAAAAAAACCTGCTTATCAGAAGATTAGCAGTTCAAAGCTATGGGTCAGGGCGAGCTCCTGTTGTCAGCCCTAGCTTCTGCCAACCTAGCAGTTCAAAAACATGTAATGTGAGCAGAGCAATAGGCACCAGCTTGGCAGGAAGGTCAAAGGCACCCATGCACCCATATTGGCAACACGATCAGGAGGGTCTACGGACAACAAGCTCTTCGGCATGTAAAAATGGAACGAGAGCACCTCCCCATGGCCAGAGCTGAGCAGAAGGTGGAGATGGAAAGGGAAGTCTTTGCCTTTCTTTGTGTATTATATGTCATTGCTCACTGTATAAAAGGCATTGAATGTTTGCTTATATATGTGTATACTGTAATCTGCTCTGAGTCCCCTTGGGGAGACAGAGTGGAATATAAATAAAATGAATAATAATAATAATAAACGAGTACAGGTGGTCCCAGTGGTCATTGGCACATTGGGTGCCGTGCCAAAAGATCTCAGCCAGTATTTGGAAACAATCAACACTGACAAATCACAATCTGTCAACTGCAAAAGACCACCTTACTTGGATCTGTGTGCATCATTCGAAAATACATCACACAGTCCTAGACGTTTGGGAAGTGTTCGACTTGTGATTTTGTGATACGAAATCCAGCATATAGATCTCGTTTGCTGTGACATACTGTGTTTTTGTGTCAGTAAAATAATAATAATGTTAACTATTCAATCCTGCATTTTAACACAAATAAAAAATCAGTCATTGACTTTGCAATTTTTATTGTGAAAACCAAAGCAACCCTCCAAAGTACAACTTATTAATATTTTATCATATATATATTAGTATTAACACTGCATTCCATGCAGGCAATCCATAGTCAATATCAGGCCTCAAGCTTTCCCAGTCTGCCTTCCCTTAATGTGAATTATGCTGTAAATTCAAGTATGTAGAAAGAACATAAGCTTGCTATGAAGTTCATCATTTGGTGTTTGGTGGCTGTTCCCTATAGGTATTAACTAAATGGCTTATTAACATATAGTTCCTGCATGAGGCCTTTTAGGATCAGATATGTTCAACACATCCAAATCCTGCAATTGTAATATGCCAGCACTTTAACCATATACAACAATAATATTGAGATGGTAGAGCCTTTCGAGCCATCCAAAATATCTCCGCAGAACACTGTCTTTTACATTTCCATTTTGGGAATGAAATCACTACATAATAACATGTAAGCCTCATATGTAAACATGATCTGACTAAAGAGGAATAACTATGTCTTAAGCTTTACTCAGCTTTACTAAATCATCCTTTAATTCTCTATGAGTTTGAGCTATTTGCCATTAGAGTGGTTGGTTAAAAAAAGATATGGCAGCCCTGTTTTTAAAATTTGAACCATCTCTTTTTCACTACAGACCAAGGCTTGCATAGCAGTGATTGTGATACATGAGCATCATATGCGTTGTTCTAAGAAAACCAATAAGCATGGTACTATTTACTGTTGAAATTAGGCGGAGTGATAGTGTCTACCTTTGTATGGATACCTGCCCATTCCTTACCTTTTATAAATAAAGGTAGGACAGAACCATGAGAAAACCACCAATTCCACATTGCTGTACCTGCCTCTCTATATGGCTATGCAGTTATGTATCCATGTTATCAAACTTGGTCCCAAAGAAATCCTTTGAGCAAACAGATTTGGATCAGATATGGAATGAGGCTGAAACACTTGTAAATATTTAGGATATATCCCTACCAACAAATAGAAATCCGATTTATTTTTCTCCAACTAAATCACGATGGCTGCAATTGTATCCTGGTTGGGGATCCATTATCTGAAATGCTTTGGATCAGAGGTATGTTGAGATTCAGATTTTTTTAGGATTTTGGAATACTTGTATTTGTATATGTGTACACAATGAATATAGGGCCCAAACCTTAATACAAAATGCATGTATGTTTCATATACAATACAATATGTGCCCATAGCTTAAAGGTAATTTAATTCAATATTTTAAATAATTTTGTGCATGACAAAGTTTGTGTATATTGAATAATCAGAAAACAAAGGTGTCACTGTAACAGTCACCCATGTGGAAGATACTAGTTTTTGGAGTAATTTGGATGCTCAACCTGTACTATGTGGAGCCCGCAGTGGCGCAGTGGGTTGAATCGCTGAGCTGCTGAATTTGCTGGCTGAAAGGTTGGCAGTTCAAATCCGGGGAGCAGCGTGAGCTCCCGCTGTTAGCCCCAGCTTCTGCCACACTAGCAGTTCGAAAACATGCAAATGTGAGTAGATCAATATGTACCGCTCCAGTGGGAAGGTAACGGTGCTCCATGCAGTCATGCTGGACACATGACTTTGGAGGCATCTACGGACAACACCAACTCTTCGGCTTAGAAATAGAGATGAGCACCACCCCTCAGAGACGGACTTGACTAGACTTGATGTCAAGGGGAAACCTAATATGTACTGTGTTTGTGCTTACCATTATTTGGTACATACAACCTAAAACTTTGTAACAATTTTGCTTTACACTATCCTGGTCTAACTAATGTTTATCTTAAATGCATGGCAGTTATGTCGGCATGTCTTTCCTGAGCTTCCTGGCAGTGTTTTGTCAATGCAGACACATGATACAATGTCAGCGTGCTTCTCAGCATTTCCTTACCTCTTCTGTTGCAAACAGCTACAAGCATATGTATCATGAATGGACAACACAAAACAAATAATGCCATATCATATTCTTGTGAAAGGTCATCTGGAGAAACCGAGAAGGAGATGTGAGCTGTCCACCATATCCTGTATCCTACTGGTTACTCCCAGCTAAAGCAAACCCACTGAATCTATTTTTGACTGGGGAGTCAATACATAGTAAAATCCACTGATTCACTGGGTCAGTTCTAGATAGAATTAGCAATCAGATGCAAATGTTATATTATGCAGTGACGTGAATAGGAATTCAGCAAATATGCAAAACTAGCAAAGCTAAAAGCCTTTTTTGTGTTTCTCATGCATGTTTTCAAAATTTCCAAATACTTACTATGGTATAAATAACATTTTAGATTTTTCTGTGAGAAGGTGCTGGCCAGGGAGGAAAATCTAAGACCTCATCTACACTGATATATAATGTAGTTCAATGCAGTTAAACTGCATTTTGAAACTACATTATATGGGCAGCGTGATGGGATGTAAGACTGACAACTGTGCCTCAGAATACACCATATTATCTGTGGTAGAAGAATCTGCATTCGATAAAAAAATAGTTCAGTATCATTTTCATGGATGCTTACCATCTCTTTCAATGTAACTTTACCTTCCTGTCATGCTGGGGGAAAATATGGAAAATCCAGGACATGACTAGAAAAGCAAGAAACAACAATACCCCCAATACCTTAATTATCAACAGAAAATAACCCTTGCTTCACCAAAAACAGATTACATTTTCCGATTCCCACTGATAAGTCCCCTGTTAAGTTCTGCCACTGAAACCAGTGATTGATATTGTCTCTTAAAAATTGTTTCAATGACTGCTATTCTCTCTTAAAAGACTATTTCTGTAAAGGCAAAGGAAAGCTGAAGCCTAGAGCCAGTCGGGAGGTGAAGAGAGTAATTCACAGCAGAAATAAGATGAGTTGCTGTGGTGGTGGTGCCTTTTTTGGAGGTCTGATGCCAGGTTTGGTACATATTTTATCCCCCGGCTGGCTCTGCTGTCGACTGGGGCGATTACTGTCAGTGGCAAGGCCTCTTTAATGAATGCTTTCCTTCTCCAGCCTTGAATTTATACTGACATTACAGATAAATATGAAGGTGGCATTTCAGACTCAGCTTAAGCTTTCCCCAATCCACAAATATCAGGTGGTGCATTCGATAAGCATTGCTTGACACTGAGATACTGCAAGAGCGCAAGTCTGTCCAGCCATTCTGCGAGAAGATAATCCATAAAACCAAAATGTTATCTCCCAAGGGATATGTAGAAGGTAAATTCCAATTCTCAGCTGGAAGTCTGGTTTCTCCTCTCTCCTAACCTTTCTTTAGGGCAGCTTCACTTGCTTTTTTCTCCCCACCGCTGCTCTAAATTACGTGTGGTACTTCTGATAGCACACCGTGGCAAACAGTACTACCACCATGATTACAATGCTGGTAAAAAGCAAGAAGGGTAGAGGCAGCTTTTCACTGGCACTGCAACCAGCTGTGGATGACACCAGATAGGAAGTGTGTTGCTACTAACTCTGCAATAAAGTCTTGTCTTCACTGGCTTTTCCTGCTAGCGGGCGGCCATATGCCAAACTCACATGCCTTTTTCATGCTTTTAGGTTCTCACAAATCCATCGAAGGGCTGTAGTTCAGTGGTCACAGCACATGCCTTACATGCTGAAAGTCCCAGTTTAGTCTTGCCTAAAACTCTGGAGAGCTCCTGCCAGTCAGTGTCAAAAATGACAGGAAAGAACGAAGAACCAATGATCTGGCACAGTATAGGGCAGCTCCTTGTGTTCCTAATTCACTTTTGGGATTTCCTCACTGTATTTGCTTTCCCTCTTGTCCAATCCTTCAGATAATTCATCGTGAAATAAAGAGTAGACGCTGGACGGGAGACGCTGGATGTTCTAAAGGCGCAAGAGCGAAAAAACAGATGTATTTCTCAACATTGATCTGCTTCGACAAATCCTTCCTTCTCATGGCTGGCTGCCTCCACTTCAGTGTAGGTCGAGTGGTTCCTAAACTTCATAGCAGGCCACTGGTGTCGTCTTCGCTAAAGTATAGATATAAAAAGAAGCTCATTAGTATGTGAAGAGACAAAACTCATAACTGTAATACAGCCTGGCATTCAATCTGAAATTGTTCTAGTAATTTCTTACAAGTGTGAAAGCCTGAAGAGCTCGCCTTCTCACCAAGGGAGGGGCCAATAGGAATGCTGGCTGGGGGTCAGTCCAGACAGTACCTTTATCCCAGGACCTACCATAGCAAACAGGAGGGTGGCCAGATGTTGTTCCCTATAAACCTGGAAACAATTGCTACAAAAGGCAAAAAATGTGAGATTTCCAGGTGTGGGAACCGAATATCCGGATCTTTGCATGTCTGTATGTCCCTCCAATCGGAAATCATGGGATTTTTTTTTCTGGGTTTGTTCCCGGGTTTTAAATACTTGTTCCTGATTGGTCGGTTTCTAAAAAGAAGGTGGCACTTGACTAGAAGGCAAAAACTTTGTTTGGGTGTCATAAACTTTATGAAACATGTGGAGGGTAGAGTTTCTCTGGCCAGGACAATGTTGTGGCCACTTAGTCAACGTTGTATATCTTTTCACAAGAAGAGTAATCAGGAACATTTATGTATAACCCAGGAACAGCACCCTGTTGTTTGATGCCACAAGTACACAACCAAATCTGTCTGGACAGATGGTCAGGCAGCCAGGCTCTAAAAAGTGTCAATAATGACAAAGTTCTGTTCCTGTCTTGAAAGTGTGTGTTCTTGTTTGATTGTGCAGTGCTGACTTGGGCAGAAGTGGTCCTACCCAGAAACTTTGTTTGTGTGGCAGATACTTCCTGAAATGTCTGGAGGGCAGTTTCTCTGGCCAGTTCAAAGAATGGAACTTTTGCAGTGATCCATATAACCGGATCTCCGCATATCCGTATCTCATGAGTTTTTTTTAAATTGCCAGTTTCTGGTGGAAGTCCTGCGGTAGCCATCTTGGGAGCCTCTAAACCTTGGAACAAAGCATCGAGTCTGGACAACGGAGACAGAAATCCCGGGACCAACAGGTCTGTATGTGGACCTCTCCCGAAGTCACGGAATGTTTTGCCCCTGTTTTAAACCCATGATTTAGTGATGTCTGGAAGCACACCCTGAGAGATTGTAGCAGCTGCAGCCCTCAAAAGTATTTTTTTCCAAGTGGTATGGCAAAGCACGTGCCTTGTATAAAGAAGGTTACAGATATAATGCTTGGCATCTCCAGTTAAAAAAAAATTCCGACATATGATGGAAGAAGGCTGTGCCTGAAAACATGTGGGTCACTATCTGTGAGTATAAAAAAACCTTGATTTCAATTGTAAATAGACTAACTTGGTCTATAGACTGCTGCTTTGTTTGCATAAAGAAGGAAACAGCTGCTGTATAGCTCCTTTATGTAGGGCAGACAGAACTGACAACTTTATTAAAACAATAACAGTGCAACTTGGCTAAGGAGAAGCTCCCTCTATGCATGTCAAATCACATCAAGAGCAGGACTTGATAATGTGAACTCAGATTCAATTCATTTTATTAAATTCAGTTGTATATTTGGCACTGAAAGCTGCCCCTTGTGATACTAAGTATAGTATTATTTTTATTTATTTACTGTATTTCTATACCACCTTTCTCACGCCTGGGGGGGACTTAAGGCGGTTTTAGTATTAGTATTAGCAGAAAGAATAGAGCCCTTGATGGCACAATGGGTTAAACTCTTGTGCTGGCAGGACTGCTGACCGAAAGGTCGGCGGTTGGAACCCGGGGAGCGGCATGAGCGCTTGTCTGTCAGCTCCAGCTTCCCATGTGTGGACATGAGAGAAGTCTCCCACAGGATGGTAAAACATTTGGTGTCCCCTGGACACCATCCTTGCAGATGGCCAATTCTCTCACACCAGAAGTGACTTGCAGTTTCTCAAGTCACTCCTGACATGAAAAAAATAAAATAAAATAAAACAGCATTTTTTTAAATAACTCTTCTGTAAGTGTATGTGCACTAGGTGGAATACAACAGTCTGGAGTATGACACTCACTATGTACATTTGGTAGTTATATGACAGTTTTTAATAGCACTGCAAATGTAGATAATGGCAAAGCAAAGGAATATCTGCCTGGATAGAAGGCAGAGATAGAGAAGGGTTGAGGGTCTATAGTTCGTTATTTTCATTATCAGAGAAAAGTGAAATGTAGATTTGGATCTGAAAGCTTTGCAATTGAATGTTAAGGAGTTTTGATGCCCATTATTGTGCTCAAATGAGCACCCCTCCCTTGATATTGTCGAAATAAAGCATGGAATAAGTAGGATTAGATTTTTGTAGGAAGGACCAGTAACATGTTTGGACTCAGATTGTGGAGTTTTTAAAGAAATATAGACAACCTGCAAGAGACAAAAGAATTTTCTCTTGCACTTACCTCAAGGAAGAACAAAGCAGCACTGGAGGTAGGATTACTGCTGATGTAAATGACAGCAAGGATAATCACTGCAATGAGCAGAACAGCCAGGACGATACCAACAATTGTTCCTGTATGGAGCTGCAATCCCACTTTCTTCGCAGGGAGTTCACCTTGCAAATCTGCAGGTGATGTTTTCAGGAAGACAGAGAAGCACAATGTATGTATTTCTCAGACATAGCAAAACAAGCAAAAGGGCAAAGAAAGGTCACACGTATGGTTACGCCATACACTTGATCTAGTGGTCAATGTAAAGTTTAAGCTATTATGACACCTTTATTTGTAACATATCAAACCACTTTGAATCACAGTTTAAACCTTTCTCAACATGGTTGGCTTCCAGATGTGTTGCAGTATAGCTACTATTATCTCACAACCAGCTGAGACGTGCTTGAAGATGGGCATTGTTGAGGATTCATGTTTCTGTGTTGTTTTTATCGCACTTTAGTTTATTTCCTCTGTTCTATTCAGTAAAGATGCCCAATTCACATTCAGGTTTCACCTTTGGCATCTAGCTTTGATACCATCACATCTTGAAGGACTATGCTCGCAACTTTGGGCAATCTCTCTCAGCAATTATGACATTATTTTTTTAAAAAATCACAAAACAACCAGTATATACTTGTGAGATACTGCATGGATCACAACCCAAGACACAAAGTGAACCAGAGGATAGATACCAGATGCTATCTTCTTGGTATTATGTGTAAGTTAAGCTTCAAATGACTGCAAAGGATTGTTGTAGGTTTTTTGGGCTATATGGCTGGAATCACTGGGTTGTTGTAGGTTTTTTGGGCTATATGGCCATGTTCTAGAAGCATTGACTCTTGATGTTTTGCCTGCATCTATGGCGAGCATCATAGGATGCTTGCCATGGATGCAGGTGAAACATCAGGAGACAATGCTTCTAGAACACGGCCATATAGCCCAAAAAACCTACAACAACCCAGTGATTCCAGCCATGAAAGCCTTTGACAATAGACTGCAAAGAGTTATTCTAATTCCCAATTATTCCGACAATCTAAAAATATTTTGAGATCCACTGCATCAAACATCACTGAGCACAGTGAATTTGGGCCACATTCCTTTTCTCAAACTGTGATGCAGAACATCAAAAAGTATTTTCTATTTCAAAATTTGAACTGATCCAATTACTATTTGTCTAGGTCTGTGCTGCTCAAAGTGGTGGTTTGTTGACATATCCGTCCCCCAAGGAAGAAAAGAGGCTCCAAGGGAGAGGACAGTAGGATCCCTTTTGCTCCAGAAGCACAGGTATCTTCCAAGAATGGGCAGCTTGGAAGTCCCTGAACAGACTCAGATGTGTAGTGGGCAGATCAAAAGACAACCTGGCAAAATGGCACTATCTAGAAGAATCCACCTTGTGTGACTGTGGAGCAGAACAGACAACTGCACATCTGTATGCTGGTTCGCAATGTCCTGCCTCATGTACAGAGGAAGAATTGGATGAGGCTGCAAACAATTTATTTATTTATTTATTTATTATTCAAACTTATATGCTGCCACTCCCCGGGGGCTCGGAGCGGCTTACAAGAACAGGCTAAAATCTAACACAATTTAAAAACAATTTAAAACCATTTAAAAGCAGCAATATCAAAGATCAAAGGCCTGTCAAAATAATGCCGTTGCGATTGCCTGTTTTTGGTCAAAATATATTTATTCACTTGTGCTCCTTCTATTTTTATCAGTTCTATACTAATTTATGGAATGCTTTTGATAGAAATAATAATAATCCATGTGGTTGCAGTGGAAGAGTCCCTCACTACCAAAGGTCCCAATGCATAGTATCCCTTTCATAAGTGGGCCCTCTTTTATAGATCTGCAGTGAACTTCCAGAAAAGAATGAAACAATTGCAGTGAACCGGCATAAATGTGGTGCCATCCCCTAGTAAACTGGGATAAAACGCTGTCGGTCCCATCAGACAGCTTAAGAAACACTCTTCTATATATAAAAAGAAGCAGTCTTCTATGTGGTTTGAATTACAACCCCTAGTATTTCTGTCATTGGCCATGCTGCCTGGAGTTTCGGGAAGTTCTGGAGGACAAAAGGATGGCAACCATTGATATAGATAATAAGCATAATCCAAGAATTCCCAGAGCCAGTTTAGCAATGTACATTCAACAAACTTTCCCAATAAGCTTTAAAACAAAACATTAGTTCTGGTGGATCTAGTTGCACTCTCTTAAATATCATTTCTTTATTCGTTGGACCAAACATCTTTGCATCTTCAAGTAAGACCATTGCCAACCCACTGTACCACATGGCATGCCACTGGAATCATTGGCACCAAAACAGATGAACCAGTAAACTTCTGGTCAGACCTCAGTAGATGAGGGCCAGTTCCCCATCATTAAGCAGTCATCTCAGACAGCTGATGCTACGAGCGGTCAAAGGAAAACAAATTAATGTATGTTTATTGTATAGTTTGTTGCCATGGGAAAGAGGCATTTGTTAAATGTTGTATCACCTATGCCAAAATAACTTGATCAGATTTTATTATGATGCTGTATCTTCCTGGATCATAACTTACCATTCTGCCCCAGGCAGCAACATTTCTTGGATCATCTCTATTAGGTACATTGTCCTACATGTTTATATTGTAAGGAAGAATTGCTTTGTCAGCAACTGGTCTAGCATTCACCAGCACCAGCTGCAAGAGCATTTTAGAAATGTCTTATGCCTCCAGGAAATACACATCCCCAGGCATAAAAGGTCCAATACACTGAGCCATCAAAGAATTAGACACTTACCTTCCCGAATCTGGTTCATCTTTGTATCATCTAAACGAAAGCAAAAAGAGGACATAAACTGGGTTAACAAACTCTTCCTCAATGTGCAGATTTCTGCCATGCTGGTAGTTAAAAAGCAAGTTAATTCCAGGAAGTAATTTAGAAACTCTATGCTTTAAAAGTGGTATTCAATTAAGGAAAGGTTAACAGGGCTGTCAATGGGAGCTGCTTTTCCTTTTAGAACCTCACATTATGAAACGAAGTTAAGCAGTGAATTGCAAGTCAGTGGATTGTTCAGTACATTGCTTTTTGCTGTTGTGAGGAATCTAAGTCTAGAAATTTACTTTTTAGGAAGAACAAATACAATAACAGTGTTGGAGCTCAGTTCCTAACTGAAGAGTGGTACAAGGATACTCTTGGTCTCGGTTATGGGTGACGTTGGCAAACCATTTCGGTATATTTAATTCTTCTTCAAAGTAACATTCCAGACTCATGGTGTGTTTATATGTTAATTTATTCTTTAATGGAATTATTGTAGTTATTATAGATTTATTTATTTATTTATTTATTTATTTATTTATTTTATTTTATTTGGTACACTTGTATACCGCTAATTTCTCAGCCTAGAACGGCGACTCAATTGCGGTTTACAGCATTTTAAAAACAATCTCAGTTTAAAAAACATATACAAATACAATAACAAATTATTGGGCCACCAATAATAATCCCATATATCTCAAGTTAAAATCACAATCCAGAGTTCGTTGTCCATATTTCCTGTCCATAGTCACCAAGATTCGATTTAATTGCCACAGATTAGCCGAATGCTTGTTTGAATAACCATGTTTTGAGTCTCTTCCTAAACACCATCAGCGACGAGGCTGATCGTACCTCTATAGGGAGGGCGTTCCAAAGCCGAGGGGCCACCACAGAGAAGGCCCTATCTCTCGTTCCCGCCAGCCGCACTTCTGAAGCTGGAGGGATAGAGAGAAGGGACCCTCCGGAAGATCTTAGGGTCCTGGTGGGCTGATAGGCTGAGATACGTTCGGATAGATAAGTTGGGCCAGAACCGTTTAGGGCTTTAAAGGCCAACGCCAGCACCTTGAATTGAGCCCGGTAGCATATCGGCAGCCAGTGGAGCTGGTTCAGCAAGGGAGTTGTATGCTCCCTGCGATCAGCTCCTGTTAAAAACATGGCTGCCGCCCGTTGGACTAACTGGAGCTTCCGGACTGTCTTCAAAGGCAACCCCACGTAGAGAGCGTTGCAGTAGTCAAGGCGGGATGTAACCAGAGCGTGGACTACCGTGGCTAAGTCAGACTTCCCAAGGTACGGTCGCAGTTGGCGCACAAGTTTTAACTGTGCGAAGGCTCCCCTGGTCACCGCCGAAACCTGGGGTTCCAGGCTCAGCGATGAGTCCAGGATCACCCCCAAGCTGCGAACCTGTGTCTTCAGGGGGAGTGCGACCCCATCCAACACAGGCTGTAATCCAATACCCTGTTCGGCCTTGCGACTAACCAGGAGTACCTCTGTCTTGTCTGGATTCAATTTCAATTTGTTCGCCCCCATCCAGACCGTCACAGCGGCCAAGCACCGGTTCAGGACCTCGACAGCCTCCTTAGTAGCAGGTGGAAAGGAGTGACAGAGTTGGACATCATCTGCGTACAGATGACATCGCACTCCGAAACTCCGGATGATCTCGCCCAGCGGCTTCATGTAGATGTTAAACAACATGGGAGACAGTATTGAGCCCTGAGGAACCCCACAAGACAAAGGTTGTGGGGTTAACAGGAGTCTCCCAGTAACACCTTCTGAGACCGACCCTCGAGGAATGAGAGGAGCCACTGCAAAACAGTACCTCCAAGACCCATCCCCGCGAGGCGTCCCAGAAGGATACCGTGTCCCAGAAGGATACCCCTGTCGAGCTCCCGGCCCCCCCCCCCCCCCCCCCCCCCCCCCCCCCCAAAGAGAAAAAACCTGCAAGAAGGATCCCGTGGTCGACGGTATCGAAGGCCGCTGAGAGGTCCAGCAGCACCAACAGGGACACACTCCCCCTGTCGAGCCCGACGCAGATCATCCACTAAGGCGACCAAGGCTGTCTCGGTACCATGCCCCGGCCTAAAGCCAGACTGTGCCGGATCCTAGATAATCCGTGTCTACCAAGAATGCCTGGAGTTGTGAGGCCACCACACGTTCCATGACTTTGCCCAAAAAGGGGAGATTGGAAACAGGCCGATAGTTGACGAATTGAGTGGGGTCCAGTGATGGCTTCTTCAACAGCGGTTTTATTGCAGCTTGCTTTAAGCTGGCTGGAATTTTGCCTTCCCGAAGGGAGGCATTCACCACCACCTTCACCCACTCGGCCAAACCCCCTCTGGCCTCCTTTAGAAGCCAGGATGGGCAGGGGTCTAGGATGCATGTGGTAGCTCTCATTCCTCCAAGTATCTTGTCCACATCCTCGGGTTTCACCAATTGAAATGAATCCATCAAAACCGGACAAGCAGATGCTCGTGTTACATCCTCAGAGACTGCCGTTAATATGGTGTCCAGACCAGAGCGGATCAAAGCGACTTTGTCTGCAAAGAACTGAGCAAAGGCCGAGTCATCAGGGCACCCATCCTGGATGGTGGGTTTTAAAAGGCCTCTGACAACTCGGAACAGTTCAGCCGGACGGTTCTTTGCAGACGCAATAGTAGCCGCAAAGAAGATTTTCTTTGCGGCCTTTATTGCCGCGGCATATGCCCTTAAAAAGGACACAAACCGTGTTCGGTTTGGCTCGCTCGGATCCGAACGCCACACGCTCTCTAGTTCCCTCTTCTTTCGCTTCAACGCTGCCAGCTCCTCGGTAAACCAAGGGGCTGGTTTAGCTCGGCTACTTGAGAGGGGACGTTCTGGAGCGATCGTGTCTATTGCCCTAGTCATCTCCCCATTCCAGAGAGCGACCAGAGCATCAACAGGATCACCAACCACGGTGGCGGGAAAGTCCCCAAGAGCCATCAGGAAACCGTCCAGATCCATAAGCCTCCTAGGGCGGACCAATTTAATAGGTCCTCCACCTCTGCGGAGGTTAGGGGGTGCAGCAAGTCTAAAACTGACCAGGTGGTGGTCGGTCCATGGCAACGGAGAGATGGATAACTCCTCAACACCGTCACCTTCCTCCCATCCCTGACAGAAAACCAAGTCCAATGTATGTCCAGCACTGTGGGTGGGGCCAGATACTTGTTGGGACAGCCCCATGGTTGCCATGGTAGACATGAAGTCCTGAGCCGCTCCCGATGAGGCGGACTCGGCGTGGATGTTGAAGTCCCCCAGCACAAGCAGCCGTTGGGACTCCAACACCAGGTCCGAGACCACCCCCGCTAGCTCAGTCAGGGAGTCTGTAGTGCAGCGAGGTGGCCGGTACACTAGCAGAATCCCTAATCTGTCCCGGTCTCCCACCCTCAGGTAGACGCATTCAAATTTTGTTGACTGTGGGATGGGGGCCCTGGTCAGAGGAATGGTATCTCTATAGACCACTGCAACCCCGCCTCCCCGCCCTCCGGATCTCGGTTGGTGCTGCACAGAGAACCCTGGTGGGCAAAGCTGGGTTAAGTTTACACCTCCCGCTTCGTCCAACCAGGTCTCTGTGATGCACGCCAGATCTGCCCGTTCATCCAGGATTATATCCTGGATGAAAGTTGTTTTACCGTTGACAGATCTGGCGTTCAACAGCACCACTTTCAATCCGGAAGGACCGCCATCCTGGTTACACCGACTTATCATATCAGGAGACCGATTTGGGATTACTAAAGTTGTTCCCCATTCCCTAGGTCGAATTAGAGGTCTCCCTTTCCTGTATCTCCCCCTCCCCACCACGACTTCTATGGGGGCTCCCCGGTTAACGGAACCCCCTCCCTCCTCCATGACGCAATGAGCAGCCAACGTATCAACAAGAAATGCATCATTAGTTGTTTGACATATTATGGTTACGGGGTACCATAAACCTGTCCTCCATCTGTTTCCTATTCCCGTTTTATAATGCTCAAATCCCGTTGGCCTACTCCGTTCCCACTCTCCAGCGTAAACAATCAGTAGCAAGGTTAACAAGTACCGGGGGAAGGGTGATGACATAAGTGGTAGGTATTAGGGACTATCGGGAGAGTATTCCTGAAGTTTTTAAATGCAGATGGGTCATGCGAGATGGAATAGATTATGATCTGTGTTGTGTGCATGCTTGCCTTTATTACAAAATTTGTATGATTTAAGTCAAACATCATTTCCATTAATGTCAGATTTACTGTGCGGCGGGTTGTTGAAATGTTTGTTTTAAGTAGTAAAATGATAAAAGGCTAGGAAATGGACACAGTACATGAATAATGCAGTTAACCAAGTGTCTAGAAGTGAATTACCTTTTTCAAATACTTTTTACAACTCCCAAGCTCCTATTTTTCCTTGTCTGCTAAGTAGGTGAAACTTTTTTTAAAAGTAGCTATTTGGAAAAACTGTGAAGAAAGATTGGAGAAACATATATTTGCTATCTGGTTGCATCGTTGCATTTTCACTAAACAATGTAATAAGCAAAGTTGTAGCTGATCAATAGCAGGATTCTTCTGTAGCCACTCCTTGTATGTGTACCAGAAAAGGTAAATAGCAGCTGCCTGCAGAATTCCTTATTTGAGCATATCAAATAGCAAAAGAGAGAGAAAAGTGAAAAAATAACTCTGTCTCACTAGCTACTTCCAATATGTTCAAAAAGGATAGTTTTCTAAACCTGGACAAAATGGAGATTATAAGAAAAATAGAGAGTGGTGAAAGAAAATGTCACCTCTTAGTAAATTTTTGACAAAGTATTTAGGTGGTCTTCCTAGAACATGGGTTCCCAACCTTTTTGGACCAGGGGCCACTTGACCATGAACCACTTTGACCCGGGACCACTCTCTAACATTAGTACCAAAAGGGTTACGAATCATTTTTTGGTCAGCTTTAGAATTTACTTCTTTCCCAACTCAACATTTATTGCATAGCTGTTGCTCCAAATATCTGTGTTTCTCCAACCCTTCTTCACTATTTTCCCA